AGCAGGAAACTTTACAGTCTGGCCAGAACCTGGGCCTACTGCTAAATAAATCAACTCAGAATGACGTGGCAACTGCCACGTGTGGTGAGGCCCACATCTTCCTACTTATCCTACTGCAGCCTAATTTTAGCCCAGTTAACAGGAGGTATGTTGAGAAACATACAACTTACACGCAACACAGTGACAGAAGACACCTTTCTAGAGCATTCGTCTCTGACCGGGCCAGCTGGAATTGATACACTCTCCGCTGACCTAGGAGTCAGAGGTTGTCCATTGACCTCTCCACACATTCCCCCTTCCCCTCACTCCAAACCCCCAGAAAGGTGACAGGCAGAGCAGCTGCAGACCCTGGGCCAGGAGTAGACGGGGCTGTCAGCTGATGCATCCCTCCCTCCATGAGTAATGAGTGTGCTCCGGGCCCCGGGGGACCAGCTTAAAGCATTTCCCCATTAATCTGCGAAGGCTGACACCGCCATCTAAGGCACAACACAGAGCCCGAGTGCAGGATGGCACGTGTTTAAATGCCGCTGCCCGGGCCACTTGGCTTTCTGAGCACATAACCGCGATTCCAGCCTTGGAAGGCCTGTTACGCTTGGATCTAATTCCCAACATGGGGAATGCGACTTTTCATAATTTGAACAAGCCTCTTAAAGAACCTTACCTCCAGCAGAAGCACCACACACACACACTCTCTCTCTCCCCTCAGGGTGGGTGTGAATCCTAATTGAGAGCTCAGTTTGGAGAGGTACCTCGCCAAATCCCTCGGGCTCCCATCCAAACCGCGGACGTACCCCAGGTGATGAGACAATTAAGCAGGAAGTACAGTGCAGAGCCGTCAAGAGGGGAAGAGGACAGGGTGGTACCGGGGGTAGGACCTGGGGCTCTGCTCCGGACGGCGTCTCTGTGGCCTAGCAAGGCATGCATTTCCTTTTATTGCTGATAATCAGTTTAATTGCAGCGTGACCAGAGAACAAGGTCTGTGCAATATTAATTCTTCAAAATGTGTCGAGACTTCTTTGTGGGCAATTCTCTCCCTGGTCTCCCCCCTATTCCTGTGCTACAGGTGAAATCTCGGCTCTGCCTCTCTTTCAAACCCAAGTAACAGGGCAGAGAGTCAGGACCAAGTCCTACTGGGACAGAAGATCACGAAAATGCAGACAGGAAGCTGGGGTTCAGAGGGGATTCCCGGGGATCCAGGGTATGGAGCTCAGAAAAGGTGGATGGGTATGCACAGAGCGGAAAGAGAGAAAGTACCTCCTACCGAGAGGTGAGGGTGAGGCGGGTCCCTTTAAGGCTCTAGAGGAGCCCCTATGAGCTGAGACTGGAGTGATACTTATAACCCTCTGTGACCCCACCACTGGGACCTCACTTTCCAGGCAAGAATGCGCTCCCTGCTCTTGTCACACCTTCTCTCTAGCCTCTATCCACACCTCCAAGCACAGGTCCTCTGCCTCTTTCCTATTTTGTTATTTTGATAACTTTCATTTATTTCATTGATAACTTTCATGTATCAGAAAAGCAATCTGAACACCCCCAAAACAAAGAATCCAATTAAAAGTAGGCAGAAGACATGAACAGACATTTCTCCAGAGAAGACATACAAATGGCCAACAAACACATGAAAAGATGCTCAACATCACTCAGCATCAGGAAATGCAAATCAAGACCGCAATGAGCTATCATCTCACACCTGCCACAATGGCCAAAATCAAAAGCACAAGAAACAAGTGTTGGCAAGGATGTGGAGAAAATTAGGAATCCTCATGCACTGTTGGTGCAGCCACTCTGGAAAACAGTATGGAGGGTCCTCAAAAAATTAAAACTAGAACTACCCTATGATCCAGTAATCTCCCTCCTGGGTATTTACCCAAAGAATACGAAAACATCAGTTCGAAGGGATACATGCACCCCTATGTTTATGGCAGCATTATCTACAGTAGCCAAATTCTGGAAGTAACCCAAGTGTCCATCCGTAGACAACGGATAAAGAAGATTTAGTACACACACACACACACACACACACACACACACACACACACACAGGAATATTACTCAGCCATCAGAAAGAATGAAATTTTGCCATTTGCAATGATGTGGATGGAGCTAGAGAGTATTACGCTAAGTGAAATAAGTCAGCCAAAGAAAGACAAATACCATATGATCTCACTCATACGTGGAATTGAAAAAACAAAACAAATGGGCAAATGGAAAAAAGAAGAGAGAGAGGCAAACCAAGAAACAGACTCTTACCTCTAGAGAACAAATGGCTACCAGAGGGGAGGAGGGCAGGGGGGATGGCTGAAATAGGGATTAAGAGTACACTTATCATGATGAGCACTGAATAATGTATAGAATCGTTCAATCACGGTATTGTACACTGGAAACTAATATAACACTGTATGTTAACAATACTGGAATTAAAATAAAAACTTGAAGAAAAAAAAAGAAAAGCTGGGCACATGGATGGCTCAGTCGGTTAAATGTCTGACTCTTGGTTTTGGTTCAGGTCATGATCTCAGGGTCGTGGGATCGAGCCCTGCATCAGGCTCCATGCTGAACATGGAGGCTGCTTAAGTTTCTCTCTCTCCCTCTGCCCCTCCCCCTTCCAGCTTGGGCTCTCTCTCTAAAAAAAAAAGGAAAAGAAAAGCACTCTCTGGCTATGCAAGTAAAAATGGTTCCAAAGTTTTGCTCATTGGTTAAAAAAAAAAATACTAGTATATATAACCATTAATTCTCACTATAATTAATGCAAAAGTGCTAATGTCTTTAATAATGGAAGATCCAGCCCCAGCATCAAGTGGGTAATATTGAAAATAGGGTTTATAATTACAGATGTGAGTTCTGTCAGGACTCTAATAAGACTGCAGGGAGGGTGGCACACGGGACATCCTAAATGTAATCATGAGCCAGGAAGCAGGTGCAACACCAGTATTTGCCATTTCACCAAAATTTGGTCGCCGTGCAAATTAGCAGGGCATGGTGGCGGTACTTAGAATTGTGCATGGAAGCTATTTTTGCACAAACTGAGATTTCTTAGATGAAGCCCTTTGTTTAAAGGCAAGGACATGGAGAGCCCACTGGGTCTCCATCTGACTGATGCTGAGCATGAACATCTTCACGGGAAAGTTTGAGGTTACACATCTCGGAGCAACTTATGACCAGCCCAGAACCGCATCAAGGAAAGAATGTGTTTACATTATAAAATCAGGGGTCTAAAGTCCATAACTTAGGGGCACCTGGGTGGCTCAGTCAGTTAAGTGATTGACTCTGGCTTCAGCTCGGGTTGTGATCTCGGGGTCATGAGATCGAGCCCCACATTGGGCTCAACCCTTAGTGCAGAGTCTGCTTAGGACTCTCTCTCTCCCTCTCCCCCTGCCCCTCCACCCTGTTCACTTTCTCTCTCTGAAATAAATTATCTTAAAAAAAATTAAAAAATAAAGTCCATAACTTATATGAGCAAAATATCCTAAAGAGGATCCTAGTATAGCTAGGGCTGTGTGTGTATGTTCACTGCAGAAATTTTAGAATATATAGAGCTTATAGAATATATAAGCTTGAAGAAAACAAAAATTTAGGTCAGCAGTAATGCCTTCCATCGGTATTAGAATGTCGGTGTGTTTCCTTCCAGGCTTTTTTTCCTTGACCAGGCATGGTCAGCTCTACCCGTTCTTCCCACTGGCTAACCCACAGCTAACTTGCAACACTATTTCCCTCACTGCCCATCTCCAGCCCACGCCTCTTGCATGTCAGCAGCTGGCCCCTTCTTCACCTTATTAAGCGGGTGTGACAGGCAAAGGTCTAGGGTAGGAAACTCAGCAGCCCTGGGTTCTCACCCGGTGCACGATGCTAATTTGCTATGTGGCCTTGAACCTCTCTCAGGGTCCTCGTGGACGTGGAGAGGGTTGCACTCATGGTCTGATATTGGACTCTTCTGGCTGCAACACGAATCATCCCACACAGAGACAAAGACCAAGAGGGAGCGGTGGCTGATGCAGCCCACGCAGGTGTGTGTAGGGACAGAGCCACATCTGAAGGTTAGGTTAAGGCACGCTGTTTCTTACCAAAGCAATGCTCTCCCTGCTGCCTGGGCTTCATGGCAGAGGGTGGGATGGGGACAGAGAACTGCAGCCGGACAGACAGCTGTGGTTTCCAGAGAAGTAACATGTCAAGGTTACAAAGACAGCTCTGGGGAATAGGACTATGGGCCACCTGCAGGGGTTGGACAGCCCGGGCCCATGTGCCCACCTGTGACGCCTCAAACTCCCTCCAGGTGAGCAGCCCACCCATGGCCTGTGGCAGCTCGAGACTTGAGTGGAGATGGTAGGAAGCAACCTGTCTTCTGAGAAAGGAGAGAAGCCCTGACATTGAATTTGAGTGGTCTGGCCCATCACCAGCTGTCTAATCTTGTATCTCTGAATCAGCTCTTGCCTCTGTGAAGAGATGCCCATTACGTGCACAAACACAGCTTACATCCTGACAGCTCATGTGCACTCCCGGCACTGTTCTAAGTGGTGTCCATCTGGTACCTCATTTGACTCTTACTGACAACCCTACGAGATAGGCAGTGGGTTGAGCACACGAAAGGTCAATCTGCACATCCAAAGTCAAAATAGAGCAGTTTGTTGTGGTTGGTCCAAAGTATTAGGTCCGCTTTGTATGTGAGGGAATTGGACCCAGATCAGACATGTAACTTGCCCACAATCACAATCGGCAGCCCACTTTGCAAGCACTCCCCCAACTGCCTCCCCAAAGGCTCGGAGAGCTAGGCTAGGTGTTTTTAGTGGCAACAAGGAGATGCTGACACCAGAGGGGAAGCAAAAGTCCTGTCCCTCCTCATGCAAGCCAGCCAGTTATCCGTCCTACCACTAAACACATCTGGGTCTCCCCGCAGATGTGGCCCCCAGACCCAAGAGCGGGAGTTCTGTCCACCAAAGACCGTAGAATGCTCCAGGGCAGAGTCCACCTGCTGCACCCAGCCGCACCTGGCCCCCGTAGGTTACCTCTCCGTGTCACTGTCGCTGGACGCCACCTCCTCTAAGGCTGCCTGCAGGTCGGCAATCCGCCGGATGGACGTCTCCAGGTCTGTCTGGAGGGTCTGTCTCACCGCTGCGAGCTCCTCCACGTACTTCTCCTGGAGGCAGAGACCACAAGCACACATTGGCCTTGGACAAGAACTCACCCACCTGCCAGAGCTTCTGGGGAGGAGACACACCCTAGGCTGAGCCTAGTGTTCACTGAGCACCTAGTACGTAGTGGGCACCCCTTGAGGTATCCTCTCTATACAGATGGGCTTACAGACCCTCAGACAGATGCTTTGAATTTTATAGAGGATATGGATGTTTTGGGGGCCAGGAGGGCATGGCCCACAGACAGAGCTCCCTCGCCCACACTGGGAGGTCTCAGCCCAGTGTGTCTGACCCCAGAGCTATGCTCTGAACCTGCACCACCCACTTTGCGCCAGGCAGTACACCTTGGATGGATGAGTAAATGTACGGACCAATTACTGTTTCCCAGAACAGTCACAGAGGCTGGTTCTGGAAGCTTCGTCTGCCTCACAGATGGATCTGGAGTGGGAGATCAGTTGGGTGTGGGGGGGAGGCAGACAAGAATGGTTCCCTTTTAACTCTACATGCCGACTCCCCCAACTTTGAATCCTCAGAGGTAGCAAAGGCAAAGATGGACAAGCCAGAGGGCTCCTCCCAGAGCAAACAGGTCACTGCCATTTACTGAGATCTTTCTGTACCTGGCACTGTGTTGAGCGTCCTACCCTGATGACCTCCCTCACGGCTCGAAAGCTTGGCAGATGGGTCACTATTATTACTCCCATTTTGTAGATGAGACACTGAGGCCCGGGGAAGCAAAGGCTTAATGGTGGTTTTGGCACTCCAGCTTGGTGCTTCTGACTACCCTCTGAGGTTTCATCCCTCTCTCCTCTGATCTTGTCCTAATTGGATTCTGTCCAGACTCTGGAAAATCTCTGATTTCCATTTGCAGCATATGTCATCCACCCCCACCTTTTATCACAATGATTATCAACTGAGGGTGATTTTGCCAGCTCCCCTTCCCCAGCCCAGGAGACACTGAGCAATGCCTAGAGACATTTTTTGTTGTCACAGTTTGTCGGGGGGCGGGGTGTGCTGCAGGTAGAGGCAGGAATGGTACCTGACATCCTACAATGCACAGGACGGCCCCCTCCACAGAGAATGGCCTCACCCAAATGTCCGTAGTGCCCAGTCTGAGAAATCTCGGCTTAAACCTAGAATCCCACCTGCTGGGAATTAATCCTACAGGGAAGCAATCAAAAGGCAGAGTAAGGTCTGTACCAGAGGATGCTTGGAGCGGTGGGATGGAGGACAGGGAGAAGCTGAAAGCAGCCTCATCATCCAGCAACTGGGAATACTTAGGGGGATCACAGCGTGTCTCTTTGATGCCATTAGGCAGACATTAACATTTGAAGTAAGGATTGCAGCAGCGTGGAATGCTTCTGTGGAATAATGTTAAGCAAACGGAATAGAACAGGAAATATCATGCCCCTATCTATCTGCAAATAACACACATACAATTGGAAAAACACTTAGGAAGCTGGTGATATTTATAGATGAGGAAGAAGGGGGGGATTATGGATACAATTTTTCTTTTAAGCTGTTCTAATTATGTAAGGATTACTTGTTGACTGTTTTTATTTATTTATTTTAAAGTAGGCTCCACGTTCAGCATGGAGCCCAAGACGGGGCTTGAATTCACGACCCTGAGATCAAGACCTGGGCTGAGATCAAGAGTCCGACGCTTAACTGACTGAGCCACCGAGGCGCCCCTGTTAACTGTTGCTTTAAGGAACACACATATACCAACTGCCAAGAGTGTGGAAGGGTGAAAATATAAAGATTTAGGGTCAGATCTAAGCGCCATTCCCAGCTGCCCATTTAAATCCCTATCTGTGCAACCTGGGCTTGTTTTCTTTCTGTTGCAGATGAAGAAGTGGAGGCCAGTGAAGTCATTCGGGGCAGTAACATGCAGAGCCTGGATTTAAAGACCGGTCTTGCCAGTGATCTTTCTGGGGCAACGTGTGCACACCCCCAACGGAAGTCAGGGAGGACTAGGGCTGCTCCCCATTACGGGGACACGCACAGCTCTCCCTTGCGGAGTGGCTTGTCTATTCGTGGTATTGTGGGTCTGTGCCTTTCATCTGATTTTGAGGTTTCCCCATTTTAATGAGAGAGAGCGAGCAAAGAGTGAGAAGGCTCAGGGCTGAGTGGAGCTGAGAAGCAGCAGCGTGGAGAGAGGCAGGGGGTGACGAGGAGCTGGCAGAGTGTGCTGTGGCTGATTGAGGTTACCAGCTGTGAAATCCTCATCTTGGTGCTGACAAGGTGAGAGCTGGTCTAAGGCGGGGCCCCCGGGGCAGGAGGCCAGTGGGCTGTCACAGGAAATAACACACACCGGGGGATGGCTGGGGAGGCGCTTGCCTCTGGACACTGGCATGTCAGCTCCTAAAGACACCTAGAAAAATGGCTGGGTGCAAAATCCCCAGTAGCTTAGAGGAGCACTTGTCTGAGCTCAGCTCCTTCCTAGGGCGACAGAATTGACCACGGTCTCTCAGGAGACGGGGCACCTGTGTCTTTGTAAGACACGGAGATGCTGGCCGAAGTTCACGTCCGGGCCGTTTTAGGCATGCGTGAATGTTTATTCCAGAGCTGAAGAAAGCGAGAGCAGAGCAGCAGAATGGCCTGTGTGAGGTCATGCGGCCAGGAGAGCACAGAGCTCGGATGCGCGGCCAGATCTTGGGTTCTTGGGTAACAACTCTTTATGCCTCCTGAGCCCAGGGATGAAAAAAGAGCACCATTGTCCCCTCCCAGTTGTGCCTGGGGGAGCTTTGTCCATGCAATGTCATGCAGAGACAGCAACAAGGGCCTAAAGTCTTAGCCCTCATGGAGCTGCCTGGTGGGCAGAGGACAGGACCACCGGGGACAGGCACTGTGTCTCAGGGATGGTTGGCTCTGGGCTGGGACGAAGCAGAGGGGCAGAGGAAAGGGGGGCCTGAGACAAGTCAAATCTGTAATATTGTGAAAGACAAAGTAGCGTGCCTGGGTTCAAATCCCAGCTCTGCCCCTTACTGGCTGTGTGACCCATAGCAAGTTACTCAACCTCTCTGACCGCCAGAGAGGAAAGGCTTGGCCACCATTGCTACCATGTCATTTCTTCAGAGGAGAGTGAGGAGCAACTAGGGTGAGAAGCAGTGTATCACTGAGGTTTGCCAAGGTCACAGGCGAATAAGGACTCTGGCTCCAAAGGTTTTTCAGTGCCCCTCAGAGGAAAGACATGGATGCAACCAAGGGCAGCGTAGGGGATGAGTTAATTAGACAGAGTGAGGAGAGCTGTGAGCAAGAACACCATCCATAGATGAGGGTGTATGGACCAAGGACGGGGCCCAGGGGACTCAGATCAGGTCCAGTAGGAACACCTCAAGGAGATGGATTGGGGAAATCTAAAGTCTGTGCAATCAGCAATCAGCTAACCTTTTCTGCTTCAACTTGAAAAGCAAAGTCTGCTGATTGCAGAGACCAAGTCATTAGGGGAATGCATATGGTGCCCCAAACTGTCCCTGGGGCAGACCAAACAAGACCCCGGCCAGAGACAGCTCAGGCAACACAGAGGAGGTCCACAAGGAGAAGGGGACACAAGGGAGGTGCCCGCTCTCCGATCTGGGAGTCTGGGGCTTTCTTCCACCCTCAAGACATGTGACTAACAATGCTTGGGTTTGAATCAGGGCTGCCATATGCAAACAGGGTTGCGTTTTGAGGCCACGTGTGAAGCTGGTCTCCTCTGTTATTCTCTCTTTAGAGACTTGAAGCATGCAGAAGTTGGGGGAGAAATTAGGATATGAAACTATTCAGATAGTAAGATGTATACAGCAGAAACCCACTAATAAATACATCCTATTCCCATGTTAATCTATAACTACAGTAATGGTGATATACCCATTATAATGACATGCAACATATTACTATATATATTATATGTTCATTACATGTAGACATATATTCATATGCCATTCAGTCACTCAACAAACATCTACTGAGCACTTACTATGTGCCAGCACCAACCTACACACAGGTCATGCAGATAAAGTCCCAACTTCTCTGGAGCTTACATTCTTACAGGGACCTAATCTCTCTGTATTGCTGGTGTTTAGAACATAGCAAGCACTCAATCTATATTTGGGGATCGAATGAATGGTGTCACTGCATGACTATACATGGTGAATGAAGGAGGGACCTGGGTATTACATTCATGAATGCATACATAATACACACCATGCATACAGAGATAAATACAGCGAAAGTAGTGTGTATACTTCTGACCTCCCCAGCATTGCTTAAGAGAATCATTAACCCTTGTTAAACTCCCAAGCTACTCCCCCTGGAGCACGCCATGTAGAGCTGCCCGTGGGAGGTCGTTCATACCATAATTAGTGGCTGCAATTAAAATCGTCTCCTTTTGGAAAACTGTATGGAGGTTCCTCAAAAAGTTGAAAATAGAGCTACCATATGATCCAGCAATTCCACTACTGGGTATTTACCCCAAAGATACAAA